TTTAGATTTTTCAGTTTTTCGATTTTTCGATTCCTGTTTGGATCTTTCGATTATTTAAATTTTCGATTTCCCAATTCTTCGATTTCTCAATTAATCGATTTTTTTATTCTTTTTTATTTTTTGACTTTCGATTTTATGAATTTCCCATTTCTCAATTACTCGCCAATGTTTGGGTCTTTAATTTTTCGATTTTTTGACTTCGATTTTTCAACTTTTCGACTTCCCGATTCCTTGATTTTTTGAGTTTTGCAATTCTTTCATTTTTCGATTTTTTGATTCCTGTAGTTTTTGATTTTGTCATTTCTCGATTTCTCTGAGAATATGGTTAAAATGGTACATTTTTGCAAAGAAATATGGATTTTGCAATTATGGGGCGGAGCCTAATTGCAAAATCGATATTTCCTTATACAAATTTTCCATTTTAAACGTAAGTATCGGGTTGTTGATAGAATACTATGTACATTAAGAAAAAAAAAGCAAAAATATAAACCCCGCCCACCCACCCCATCTCAATTGTGATGATATTTTTTATTCTTAGAAACTTAAAACAAGTTTTACATGATTAATTTTTGTAAGGAAATATGGGTTTTGCAATTAGACTCCGGTAGGTCAGGTATGGGTGGGGCCTAATCTTTGGCTTTAATTTAAGTACATAGTATTCTTTGAACAACACGATAATGTTTTTAATTTCTCGTAGAGAAATAAGGATTTTGCAGTTAAGCACCGATTGAGATCAAGACAGATAGGTGGGATTTATCTTTTGATTTTCTTTTTTACTTAATATGTACATTTAGTTTCCTTTAAACAACATGATTACTTATGAATTTGTTTCACATGGTAATTTCTCGTAGAAAAATAGGGATTTCGCAATTAAGCTCCGCCCCGCAATTTACAACGAATTAAAAAAATCATCACAATTGGGATAGGGCGGGTGGGCGGGGCTACATTTTGCCTTTTTTTTTTTCTTAATATGTGTAGACTTATTTCGGAAACAAGAAACTTAAAACGTGTCTGCTTTTCCAGAATCGGCAATTGAAATATCGCGATTTATAAATTTTTAGAAAATTCGAAATTCACACCGAATTTTTCGAAACTATTGCTCAGTGACTCTAAACACGCTATATTTTTGGAAAATTTATAACCCTGAATTTTTTTAAATAGGAGTAACTTTTTTATAACTGAAATTTTCCACTAAGTATAGAATTTTTTTTTGTATTATTGTTATTGTGAGTACATTAGAATAGATTGTAAAATACGAGTCAATAGAATTCTTGTCTTTAATTGAATCTGTACAGTTTATTAAAAATGTCCAAACCAATACTCTGAATATTTCAGAAAAAATAGGCCATTCTGTAAATTAAAAGCTCAAAGAGGTAATTAATAAAAACACTGATTGCAGGCTCCTAGAAAACATCAGTTTAATTTTAAATGGCGAATCACTAGATTTAGATGTGGAATTAGGTCTAGATATTATCAGTACGTTAAAGTGCACACCAGTTGCATCTATTGATGTAGACGGAAATTTTTCATCATGCTAAAAGTATTGACCTATAGAAGACGGAATTTTACAATGAAAATTTGAAAAAAAAAACATCAGATAAATTGCATTAAATTTTGTGCCTTTAAATCCGCTCTTTGCTTCTTAGTCCAGTCATTTTAGGATAAAAAAGGGATCAATCTCGGAATGAGAGATAATAAGCTGAATTTTTGTATATACCTTAATTTTGGCGTTTTAAAAGTTGTGTCAAAAGTCTCATAAAATCTCGTGTCTGCGTCCTAAGTTATTCTAGGTCAAAGATGAAGAAAAACAGTTTTTTGCGATTATCTCGGTTTCTATTGCTCCAGTGATGTTAACATTTATTATCATAATTGTAGAGCACAAAATTTGGGACAAATTTTATTTGAAATATTTTTTCTAGCGCTCAATCGTTTTTGAGATAGAGGGCAATGAGCGCGCAGCGCTCATCCATACGTACTGTAATGCAATCAACCGTGAATATCTATGAATACTACCTTGAATTTTGAAAAAAATTGTATTATTTATCAATTAATACATTGTATTTAAACATTTTACATATTTTCAACATATTCATTGAATAATACTTACTTACCTACTTTGTGTAATTAAAAACGCATTTAATGAAATATTTATTGTATATCTCAATTTATTTATATCTTTAAAATGTGTAGGGTTTTAAATACTTATTTTTCTATCATGATTATAACTGAAAGGTCTGGAAACAACGATTCAGGGCACCGAAGATGATGACGATGAAACAGAAATTCCCGAACGTCCAGAAGATGACGGTGAAGAAGAAGAAAATTAATACTTTTGTTCTTTAAATTATTAAAGATTTCTAGATTTTCACTGCGATTCAATTTCAATCGTAAGAAATGTACAGGTACTGAACAAAGATAAAATTAAAATACATTAACTCGTTTTACTTCCTTAAATTTTTACTTTGAAAAAATTAATATAACTTTTAGATATATAATAATATAACAAGTATAATATATTATCTAATATATTAAAACTTACACATTTTAAAGATAAAGTACTTAATTATTTTTCTACTTAAAATCTACTTTCAATAAATTAAGATATACATGCAATAAGTATTTAATTTAAAGAGTTTTTAATTCCACAAAGTAGGTAGGGGAAGAGGGCCCAAAGCGGGCACCATAAGGAAAAATATTAAAAAAAGTAGTTTATGGATAATCTAGATCCTTTAAATTTTTATATTATAATGCTTGATTTAACCCTTTTCAATGATGCATAACTAAAATTGAAGAAAGTTTATTAAAAAAAAAGTTAGAAGCAGATAACTAAATCTTTACAACTGCCCGCTTTGCCCTACGGGGAGGCCTAAAGCGGGCATTCAGCTAGGGCAAACCAGGCAATGGTTAAGGTTGGCGTCTGGTTCGGTTTCGCTCTATACTAAATACATTGAAAAACATTGTCGGGGTTTCCGGAATTGCATTTTAGAAATACTGAAGTCTGCAACCAAACCAGAAGTTAAGTAAGCTCATTTTAATAGATTTTGACTTTTCGAGAGTTATTTACCTCAGTCATGGATTTTTTTGGGATTATAAATGGTACCAAAAGAAAGCTGACACTTTTCCCCAGAGGACTTTCTATCTCAAAATGCAAACCTCTTCAGCACTTCGTCAAAAAATGCATCAATGTGCCGATTAAAGTGTGATGTAAAAGTTGCTCAACTTTATATTATTTTTTTTTTGTAAAAACTGTAGACTAGATATGAATATAAATATGAAGGTCCCCTGGAGTGAAGTTTGGTAATTCGAAATATAATTTTTTTAAAGCGATATATCTCGTATTTTTCTTTTTGGTTTTTTCACTTCTTAGACTTCGTTTTATCTTCAGCAAGTTCTTCTTTTATAATTTGTTTCACAGACTCCACATTGCCTTTGTTCTTCTTTTCGAAACAACTATAGATATTTAGTAAATACACTAGAGGGACAAACCGGACAAGTGCCCGCTTTGCCCTGCCCGCTTTGCCCATTTCGACAATTAAAATTGCAAACAACATCTAAACTCAAAATGATGCGACAAGTGGCAGTTAACTGCTACCTTATGGTAGCCGAATAAACACAAATTGACTAACGAATTTCATTTTTAGCTTAAAACTCACAAACATAGAAAAAACAGATGTGACAGACTTTGCAATATTTTTCAAAACCACGTGAAAATTATTTATTTATTACAGCACATAATTGGGTACTCGCAGGAGACCCGGGCGACTGATGTGAAGTATGCGGGGGGGGATGCACTATGTCCGCGCGGTTAGGGCGCACCATCTTTTGAAACGCCAAAACTAAAGAGAGTGCCCGCTTTAGGCTCTATGCCCGCTTTAGGCCCCCTTCCCCTAAGTATCATTATCATTAAATGAATGTATTGAAAATATGTAAAATGTTATTAAATGCAATGTATTAACTGATAAATAATACAAATTATTCAAAATTAAAGGTAGTATTCACAGATATTCACGGTTGATTGCATTACAGTACGTATGGATGAGCGCTGCGCGCTCACTGCCCTCTATCTCAAAAACGATTGAGCGCATGAAAAAATGTTTCAAATAAAATGTGTCCCAAATTTTGTGCTCTACAATTACGATAATAAATGTTAACATCATTGGAGCAATAGAAACCGAGATAATCGCAAAAAACTGTTTTTCTTCACCTTTGACCTTGAATAACTTACGACGCAGACACGAGATTTTATGAGACTTTTGAGACAACTTTTAGAACGCTAAAATGAAGGTATATACGAAAATTCAGCTTATTATCTCTCATTCCGAGGTTGATCGCTAATTTGACTGGACTATCTCATGTTCAAGTATTTTTCTAAATGACGTTTCCAAATTTTTTTGTTAGCGCGTTTGGTTCATATCTCGAAACATTATGATTTTAGTGTGAGGAAAGATTTGAAGCTATCAGTTTGACAAAATATATTATTTAAGATATTTTAAATAAATGGTTTCCACATGATCATAAAAGACTTTTCAGTACCACAATTTTTCCCCTTTACCATTATTCATATTTTGTATAATAATTTTTTTGTTCTGGGGTTGCTTTCGTTAACAATTTAGTTTAATAATAATTAAACATCAGATAAAAATGAACAAGATAAGAAAATCTGTGCTCCCTTTTAGATAGTGTTTTTTACTTAAAAGTTTTGACTGTAATAGGTTTTTAAATCGAGACCTTGAATGAAAAACCTACCCCTTCTAAAATATTGCACTTTTTAACAAGTACAGTATTTATTTATTTATTTATTTATTTATTAATATTTAACCATCCAGTGGTAACATGTTTTCTCGAATATTAAATCTCTACGCAGATGTCCATCGATCCGACCGTCGATGCCGACTCCTAAATAATATTAAAATCCCATTTCGGTGACATTTATCGCCTTTAATTATGCGCTTATCAATAAATGACGCAACAGCGACATTACATAAATCCCCTCTTTCCAGGTGACAAATTCCGGCTCGTCCTGGCGACGACGCTCCGCGAAGACGGCTATCCCGACAGCGGCGACTGGAACCCCCAGGGCTTGGAAACCGAGGGTTCGCGTGCTGATAGCTTCGAATACGTGATGTCAGGGAAAGTTTACCGTATTGAGGGTGACGAAGCCGCCATGGAACCGTCGAGCAGACTGTAAGTATAACATTAAATAACAGCCCGCATTGGATTTATCGCGTTTCCTTGATGGGAAATTTGCATTTTAATGTGGTGTTGTGGTGCGTTTATATCGGTCGTTACACCACTCAAAGGAAACACGAGATTGTTTCTCGACGTCCACTCTTATTATACGAGATTGTTGTTATTAACTGCAGTAGCTGTTGGTAGCTGCTGATCCTCTGATAATCTGTCAGACACAATGGATTGTTTTGCCTCTGAGGGTGCATATTTATTATGAAGGTTTGTTTGGTTGCAGTTCGTGACAGAAGAGTGGAATTTGTTGAATACGGGTCTGATTTTAATTTTAAAAGGTAGTTGTGTGGTGGTGACAGTCTTTACTTTTTTAAAAAACGGAAAAACCTTGTCCAAGGTTCTAAAAAACCCGTATTACTATTAAAGTCTGTGGCAGTTTGCACATCTATTATTACTGGTACGATAACCAAATCGTTTAGGATTTGTACGAATCGAGGCTAATTAATAGCAATTGACACTAATTTGATCTTTGGATATTTCAGGTTTTGTGCAAATTTTGCCTAATGTTGCATATTTAAAATTATTTAGTATATTTACTGTTAACTACAGGAAAACCTATTTATGTTTTGGCGTTTACCTAGTGTGGTTTAACTTTGACGTTTAAACTTTTTTCATAAAATAATAATGGCAATACGTCACTCACCTGGAACGCTTTTAAATGAGGTGTCACAAGGTGGATAGTCCCACTTAAAATTAATTGAGGTGGTGGGATCAGTCCGAAAGTGCCCGACCGTAGGAAAACGGTTGCTAGGTAACGAAACGTCTCTGCCCTTAATCTAAAAATCCGTTTTGGTAAAAGCTGAACCGTTCCAGAAATACTTCCGACAGAAGTTTGAGTGAAACGCTTGTTATAGAGTAGCGAAAGACGCACGTGTTTTATTAATCCATACTGTTGTGTATTGACATTTCCGCATTGTCAGTTGTCATCAATTAAATTGTAGGTTAATTGTAGACATACTTCACAATGTTTACAAAAAATCAAGGCCGACTTGATGACTTTTTCAATTGAATAACCGATACGTACATGTTGACACCTGTCTACAGATAAGTTACCAACATTTTTTATCTGAAGTGCCATTCTGTGTTGGAGAGGGTATAGGAGATAAGAGAGGAAACAGATAAAAATAACGAAAAAAAATGCATCTAGATACAATTCCTGTGATAAAATAATGTGTGGTGTTTTAAAACAAATATTTATTAATTCTTCGTGCTAAATGAAATACGTAAACACGCACTTTCGAGGGTCAAAATTTACAGAATTAAAAATTAAAACGTGTTTAAATTTTAAATCGCCACTTCAGAATCTACTTTAAAATGTACTCTTTTCTGTTGTAAAAATTCAAGCAATTTAAAATTTTAGGGGGGCGGAGTTGCTAAAAATGAAATGGAATTTTTTTTCTAACTTCGAACGTTATGTCTGTTTTGCATATTTAATAAAATAGTGATATATAAAGCAATGGAAACTTGGTAATCCTGTTTTAATAAATCATCCATGGAGAGTTTTTTTTTTTTTTAGCGAAACTAGTCCTTTTTCAACCTTCGAGTTTCGCAATATCTAAAAAAGGTAGTTTGATTTAAAAGCAATTATTGTCTTCATTGCCAAGAAACTGGAATTTATGATGTTCTTAGTCGACTTTCTTTGGTAAATTCATCATCGTGTAACTTATGTTTTGTACAGGTAATAGTTATTGATTTAATTATTGCATCAATCAATAGCGATCAATTCCGGTCCAAGGTCATATCTAGGTACACTGGTACCTGGAGTGCCTTAATCCTTCGCCTTACCCCGGTCTAATAAATTATAGTTGTCTCTTTTTAAATTCGAATTTTTAAACCAGAAAATAAATGTGTAATAATCAGAGTTAGGCGCAGCGGAAGTGATGGGGAATCAACCAGACAATCATTATTAAAAACGACGGCGCGACGTCAGGCGATAAATTTGGCTGGCCAACTGTGCAGTCAACAGATCAGGTGAGAATTTTCCAAAAATAGAACACCAAAGTCATCCAAAATGGTTTTAAATAATTTACAGAAAAATGTCTATGGGCTCCCAAAATAATCCACTATGAGTACCCAAACAATGCGGCACTCAAGACTTTATAAGATTCATAAAAAGTAAAGCAGTAAAAGCCCAAAGATTTTTTCAAAGTTTATCCGAAAATAAAACACCAGGACCCGATTTATAGAAAGCGAAGTTAAAGTTAATTCGCGATTAACTTTTAACTGAGGTCCGTTGCGAGGCAACGCGCATATTTTAACCAATCACGGGCTCATATTCCACATTTTAATTCTCTGTTAAACTAATCGAGGATTAAATATTTAACTCGTTGTTCTATAAACCGGCCCTAGAGGACCTAAAATTAACTGTGATGAATGAATGTTGAATTTTTATCCTAAACATCAAGGTTTCTGGAAAAAAAAATCAAAATATAAACATACCAATTTTTCGAATTTTCGATTTCTCGATTTGTCAATTTTCAATATTATTCCAGTTTTAGAATTTTTCGGTTTTTTATTTTTCAATTTTTCGTATTTCAGTATTATCATTTTGCAGTTTTTCGATTCGTTAATTTCTCGTTCCTTCAATTTTCAATTTTTTGCATTTTTCGATTCTTCATTTTTTCTATTTTTCAATTGTTAAACTTTCGAAGCTTCTAAATTTTGGATTTTTCGATGTCTCAATTTTTTGACGTTACGACTTATCGATTTTGCAGCTGTTCAATTCTTTAATTTTTCAATTTTTCAGGTTTTTGGTTTTCCAATTTTTCGATGTTTCAATTTTTGACGTTTCTAAATTTTCGATTTCTCAATTCCTCAATTTATCGATTTTTCGAGTTTTTGATTTTCCTTTTTTTTCGATTTTTTAAATTTTCGATGTCACGATTTCTTAATTTTTCGATTTTTAAATTTTTCGATATTTCAATTTTTCACTTTTTGACGTTTCTAAACTTTCGATTTCTCAATTAATCGATTTTTTTTATTTTTTCGATTTTTCGGGTGTTCCGTTTTCCAATTTTTCGATTTTTGGATTTTCCCAGTTCTCGATTTTCCAGTGTTTCGATATTTCAGTTTTGCAATTCTTTAATTTTTTGATTTTTCAGGTTTTTGACTTTAATTTCTCAATTTCTCCATTTTTCAGTTCGATATTTCTCTTTTACAATTTTTCGAATTTTTAAATATTATCAAGTAGGTACATATTTAATTCTTCTCGGTTTTAGATTTTTCAGTTTTTCAATATTTGATGTTTCGATGTCTCAATGTTTGTTTTTCAATTTCTCGATTCTTAAATTTTTCCATATTTTAATTTTTCAATAGTTAAAATTTTAGATTTTTTGATTTCTCGATTTATCAGTTTTTTGATATTTCGATTTTTCGATTTCCCGATTTATGAGATTTCTGTTTGAATATTTTGATAATTTGTCGACTTTTCAAATTTTTGGTTTTTCAATTTTTTAAATTTTTCAAGTTTAAACTTTTCGATTTTTCGATTTTGGACTATCTTGATTTCTCGGTTTTTCCCTTTTTCGATCTCTTTATCTCTGGATGTTTCGATTTCCCAATTTAGTTTTGGAATTTTTCAATTTCTTAATTTTTCATTTTTTCTATTCTTCAGTTTTTCGGTTTTTTCAATTTTGGATTTTGCGATTTCTCGGTTTTTCGATTTTTAAATGTCAGTATTAGGATTTTGCAGTTTTTCGATTCTTTAATTTCTCGTTCCTTCAATTTTCGATTTTTTAAATTTTTCGATGTTTTAATTTTTTGACGTTACGACTCTTCGATTTTGCAGATGTTCAATTCTTTAATTTTTCAATTTTTCAGGTTTGTGGTTTTCCAATTTTGCGATGTTTCAATTTTTGACGTTTCTAAATTTTCGATTTCTCAATTCCTTAGTTTATCGATTTTTCGTGTTTTTGATTTTCCATTTTTTTCGATTTTTTAAATTTTCGATTTCTCTATTTCTTAATTTTTCAATTTTTAAATTTTTCAATGTTTCGATTTTGCACTTTTTGACGTTTCTAAACTTCCGATTTCTCATTTAATCGAATTTTTTTTTTTCGATTTTTTTATTTCTCGTCAATGTTTTGGTTTTTCATTTTTTCGGGTCTAATTTTTCGATTTTTCGGGTGTTACGTTTTCCAATTTTTCGATTTTTGGATGTTCCCAGTTCTCGATTTTTCAGTGTTTCGATATTTCAGTTTTGCCATTCTTTAATTTTTTGATTTTTCAGGTTTTTGACTTTTTAATTTCTCAATTTCTCCATTTTTCAGTTCGATATTTCTATTTTTCGAATTTTTAAATATTATCAAGTAGGTACATATTTAATTCTTCTCGGTTTTAGATTTTTCAGTTTTTCAATATTTGATGTTTCGATTTCTCGATGTTTGTTTTTCAGTTTCTCGATTTATCAGTTTTTTGATGCTTCGACTTCTCGATTTTTCTCCGTCTTGGTTTTGGATTTTCAGTTTTTCGATTTGTCGATTTATGAGATTTCTGTTTGAATCTTTCAATGATTTCTCGACTTTTCAAATTTTTGGTTTTTCGAGTTTTTTAATTTTAAATTATGACATTTTTCATTTTATTTTGTATTTTACATTTTTCAAGTTTAAACTTTTCGATTTCCGAATTTTCGATTTCTCAATCTCTGGATGTTTTGATTTTTCATTTTTTCGATTCTTCAGTTTTTCGGTTTTTTCAATTTTGGATTTCGCGATTTCTCGGTTTTTCGATTTTTCATTTTTTCGATTTTTCAGTTTTTCAACATTTTAATTTCAGTATTATTAGTTTTTCGATTCTTTAATTTCTCGTTCCTTCAATTGTTAAATTTTTGAAGTTTCTAGATTTTGGATTTTTCGATTTCTCAATTTTTTGACGTTACGACTTTTCGATTTTGCAGCTGTTCAATTCTTTAATTTTTCGATGTTTCAAATTTTTGGTTTTCCTAC